CACCAAACTTTAAGTTCACCACAAACTATTTATGGTGAACTTAAAGAAAAAAATTTTTGAAACTATAAATAAAATGTTATTTTTTTATTTATCGAGATCTAAACAAGTTTGTATCTATTTGCGTCCAAAGAACTGTTGTGTAATATTCTGCTGTCTCAACTTCACAACGTAATTCATCATATAATTATCAGCACTCTTTTTTTGTAAAGGGCCACGACGATTACTTGATATTGATTTGTCACCAACTCATTCAAATTGCATTTAAAAACCGCCAGAATTTGAACGTAAAAATCTCGCTGAATTTCGCTTCGTTAACTATTATCTCAAAATATAAGGATATTTTCTCACACACACTGCTTTTGATAGATTAATTCCAACTTCATGATATGGCTAATAGTGTGCTCTGCAGCAGTTGCATCTATCAACACGGACAGCAAAACGTTTACTTGACGTTAGCAAAACGGAAAACACCTTTTCTCACCCTCTTGTGACGTCATGTCTAGTCGAACACTGTTTGGTTTGGCATCCAAACCTTAAGAAATGTAGCCGAATGTTTTCATAAATGTAAGCTGCTTCTGATTCGCTCTTCCGTGTTCAGGAGTGTGCCTGGGCAAGAATAGACACAATCAGCTAGTGCACCATTATAATGGTATTCAGAGGCTGATAAGAAATCTGAACGGTCCCAGTGATCTGAAATGTCGAATCACAAGTACTGGTAAATCAAGCATTCGACTACCCATAAGCGATTATAATACTTGATTTTCAATCTATTTAATGTGTTTCGTTAGGGCTTTAAAAACATGTCTGAGGGCGCAAATGTTTCAACTTATACACATTATTACCTCACAAGCATGGCAAAAAAGAGCACAAATGTACAGTTCTACGAGGTGTAGTTTCATTTAATTACCCATACTTTCACACAATACATTATAGCTAAAAACTTACGACAGCGCTCACTCAGTTGCAAGAACACATCGACCCCAGAGCAACGGCCGCACTTCGTCGCAGCGTGTGCCCCCTTCATTGCGGAGTCTGGGCTCTGTTCCCTCGCGGAGTCTCTTTTATAGGAGGTGGTCCGCTGGCCGTCCTGTGCGAAATGAGGGGGGGGGGAGCTCGAGATGAACATGACGCGCGGGCGGCCTCCAGAGGAGTTTGCGTCTTTTCTGCTGTTGATGGCCTGTCTCCCGCAACAAAACTTCCTCGCCCAAGCCTCTTCCCCATTCACGCAAAACCAACTTGGAAGGAAACAAAAGCCTATTGTTATTTACTTGTTTATTAAAAACTCATTTAGGATCAATAAAGTCAGGTAATGGCGCCTATAAAGTTGCAAGTACTCTTTCTGAATACAGTTATTAATAAACAAGCTTTTGTGTTTTAAATTACATTACATTCACATACTCGTGTAGTATATTACAATCGCATTATTGTACACGTACACTCAATTGCATTCGTACTGCAATTTGCGTACAGCATTTGCCTCAATTATATGTATCAAACCAATTATTTCAATCAGTGAGAAAGTTTGTTCTTCACCACTCCGTTCTTGTAAAGTGACCTATTTTAGCACACAGCGTTTTCTTTATTCAATTTTTTCTATTAATATGTTTACCATTAGTTATTTTCCTATATCATTGGCGAATCAGATTTCTCACGTATTCCAGTACGCATTTGTCATACAGTAGTATTGATTGTCTAGCAATGAGAGTGCGGCAGCTTTTCAGAGATTTTACAATGTTTCGTTCAATGAATTGTATAATCCATTAATCATTATTAGTAACCGCTGCCCATCACAATTGCTCCCAAAACGATCATAATGGGATTATATGTCATACATTTCTGGGGTCCCGGCGATAAAGTAAGGACCTTTAATCGGCTTTCCATCGTTCATTCCAATAAACAATACGCGAGAGCACCATGTTCATTTCACCATATCTGATATCAATCTCTTCAAGCGCTCACACTTAAATGCGTCATACACTCACTCTCCAGCGTTTGATTACTGATCATCTAAGAACCGTTATTCTCACCTGTTTCGTACCACAGCATGTCACTTCCCTTCTTTTGTCTGCGGATTAAGCTCTGTCACACCGCCCAGACGTCTGTCTTTTCTCATTTTTTTCTTGGTTTCAACCACCGCTAGCGCCTACGATAAGCTCTCAGAAACATTAGATGGCCTTCCACCCACTTTCAATCTCCCCACTGCCCCCATCGCTCCGGTGCCGATGTCCTCACCACTTCCAGCAAATTGTCCCAGGCGTCTTTTTCAGGGGCTTTCCACAGGCCGGTGGCCAGGCCTCGCGGCTCCGCCCCTCCGACAAGCCTTAACCCGCCGCTGTCGCCAACGTCATCGCGGCGATCCTTCGTACCTCCCCTCCTGTCACGCCCCCGCGCCCACCTTCCCCCACGCGCAGCCCTAATCCCCCCAAGACATCCGCAACGACCGCCCAGCCTCTCCGCCAGGCCCCGCCCCGCCTCCGTCCCCCGCAGCAGCACTCGTCTCTGCGACGCGTTTCCCCGACGGCCGCTGGGCCTTTGACGCGACGCGAGGAGCGGGGGGGAGGGGAGGGGAGGCGAGACGCCTGCGGAATCCTTTATGAGGGAGTGGGCGGTGGCCGACCGCCCCAAATGAAATCACCCGCCGCGGCCGCTCTCCGCCTTCTTCACTAAGCCCGCCTTCAGCCCCGCCTCGCACTCGCGGAGTACCTACTCACAAAACCACGCCCGCTCAACTACCATGCAACTACTTACCTCTCTTCCCTCACAAAGTCCCGTCTCACTATCTGCCAACTTATCAACCATCTCTCAACGCAGACCCATCATCGTCCGTTTCCTACTGCTGGAGTTAAGCTCAAAGCCAAATCAACGCTGTCTACAACGGCTTTGATCGGGCGCGAGTACCGACGGTAGCGGGTTTTCCAAAACCTAGGGCGAATTAAACCTCTATCTCAAGGAGAACTTCAACTACCGATTGCTCCAATCGGCAATTTTTGGTGATTTCTCCAATCCAAACCAGGGAAATGGCTGAGAAATGCCGTAACAAATGAACCTCGGATCGCACGCTAACTTTCCTTCCTCTTCCTCGTCCTATTCTCTCACCTTACACACACGTACACTTGCATGCACTACCACGTGTTAGAAGGCCAGTCGGCTCACGCCCCCTAAGATTAATCTGGTTCTCTCCGATGTTCCGCTGAGGGAGATACCTAGGCAGAGAATTTTCTCGCTAGCCGACTTGTAGATTGGCGCCGGATCTCACCATTCTGTGAGGTAGGAACTCCGCTTTGCCATACATAAAAACACACACAAGACTAACGGAAGTAAGCATATTACGTTCCTAGAAACATGTATCAATTATTTTTCGTGCAGCCTTCCACACTTCTAACAACGTCACACCTGACTTACCGTCTCTTTCCCATGCTCCTCCCTTATCCCCTCCAATTCACTTATCCCCCTACGTTCTCCTCTCCTCGACTGCATCACGTCACTCGGACACCGTGAGCTACAACACGAGCTCAAAGTCCTTACTTCGATCCCAGAGACCCCGCGTCCAGCTTCAGAGCACACCACCTCTCGCGCTCGTCCACCCTCCCCCTCCCTCGCCCGTCGCTCGCAGGGCCACGGCGCCCACTGGCCGCCCCACCGCTGCCGCCGGGCGCCCGACCCCACTGGAGACGCTTCATAAGCGACGTCACCACACAAAGGCCCCGAGCTGCCCGCGTCGCCCCACCCCGCCTCGCTCCGCCTCGACCCGCGCCGCGCCGCGCCGTTCCACACCACCACGCACGTTGGGTCGCAAGGCGCTAAAGTCGCCAACTAAGAACCAGTGCGTGTGGCAGCTTGGCTGTCCGGGAGACGTCGCGTCATAAGCACAGGTGCCAACCTTTCGGCCACCCTTCTGCGGCCTTATGGGAATTTCGCCCTGAGGAAGGCCGTTCCACGCCACCGCCCCGCACGTTGGGTCGGAAGGGGCTAACTAAGAACCAGTGCGTGTGGCAGCATGGTTGTCCAGGAGACGCCGCGTCCTAAGCACAGGTGTCAACCTTTCTGCCACCTTTCTGCAACCTGAAGGGAATTTTGTCCTAAGGAAGGTCGCAAAATGGCGGGCGAAATGTTGGCATCTGTGCCTAGGGCGCCGCGTCTGCCAGATAACCAAACTGCCACACGCACTGGTTCTTAGGTAGCCCCTTCCGACCCAACGTGCGGGGCGGTGGCGTGGATCGGCCTTCCTCAGGGCGAAATTCCCGTAAGGTCGCAGAAGGGTGGCCGAAAGGTTGGCACCTGTGCTTATGACGCGACGTCTCCCGGACAGCCAAGCTGCCACACGCACTGGTTCTTAGTTGGCGACTTTAGCCCCTTCCAACCCAACCGCCCGCGACGAAACAAGCTGTAAATTCCGTCTGTACTCTGAATATTTGTGGTAGTGTAGTGCATGTACGAGTAAGTGTGTGTGTTTAAAGTAAGAAGAAGGGAGGAAGGAAATATCACGTTCCGGTGGGAGTACTGCCACTACCGTTTGTTAGAGTACCCGAAGACCTTCCGGTTAGAGACTCTGCAGCGGCAAGTTGTTGCTCTGAGGACTTCTCTCAACTAGGAATTGAGAATCAGGCAGTTAAAGCAAAGATTGGAGTATTGAATTATGTCACTCACTTGTTGGACTTGTGTTATCATCTTAATAAATTATTGTTTTATAGATAAAAATTGATTTATACTGGCATCTAACTTCCAATACTGAAGCTATGAACGTTGTGATAAGTCAGTATTGTGCGTGGATTAACATTTTAATATTGCTAAGCGTTTATTAACGAATACAAACGCCTCGACCCAGCAATTTATCAAAACGTCAAAGTTAATTTTATGTACATTTCGGGATCAATCACCTTTCGCCCTGTATGCATCACCAGAAAATATAGAAACAAAACGTAAAAAACGATAAAAAATGTCACCATCATTTTTATTCCATTAAACGCTTACCCAACTAGCATAACAAAAAATATGCTCACTTTGAGAGTCCTTTCGGCCCACTGTGTGACGGCACCTCACAAAGGCCCCAAGTTGTCCGCTCGATCTCAAAAGCCGCAGCAGGATAAAGTGGAAGGCACTCCTTTTTGCACACACACGCTCCCATCGTGCTCTTATGGACTTTCGGCCTCCTCCAGCAGACGAGTCCTCGACTTTCGCCCACATCGTTTGCGGAGCTGAGACCGTCAAGAAGTGGTCCCATTTCACAAAGAGACACTTCATTTATAACTTAAATCTAAACCAGGAAAATCAATTAGACAACATATACATTTTTTTGTTATTTAAGGTCACATCAACTTCTAGGTCATTAGCGACCACTATTGCTTGTTACAGTACAGTAACTGTGAGGATGACACAATATGATGATCATAGGGAGGTGAAAAGACGAATACAATACAACCATGCCCGAGGCGGGACTCGAACCCGCGATCCTTCGGTCTGAGATCGCTACGGCACTACTGCCTAAGCGATTTCGGCCCCCGAATCGGCTACATATATTTTTTTAACTACAAATTACAAATTAAACACTGTCTCTAGAATCAAGTTTTTTTGGGCGAATGTCAACCACAAGTTGAAGTTTTTGTCATTTTTTTTTATTTGAGAATTTCGCTCATTCTCATATTCGAGAAATTCTCTTTACATGCTCATCTAACTATACTCATAAGCACACTAGACTCGGGAGATGCAATTCACATCTAGTAGAAACTTGAAAGCAGCGTCTTGAGTCGAGAGATCGGGACATCCAGCAAGTTTAGATTGTTTTTGCAAGCGCAATATACTCCGCTTCACTAGACAAGTTCCATTAAGGAGAAGTCGGGGTTATCAACGTTTTCGAGAATGTTGCGGAATGGGAAGAGAAACTTGTTTGATATTTCATTAAGACACATTGATTAAAACTATTCTGATACCTAAAAAAATTCGAAGATCTCCTTTTACAAAAAATATTACTGTTCAAAGCAATAACCAAGCCAACATGAACTCACGGCATAGAACTATGAGGTACAGACAGCAAGTCGAACTTGGAAATCCTGACAAGATTCGAAACCAAAACATTGAGATACTTATGTAACGAGCCGTGGATCGTAACCACTATTATTTGTACAAAGATTTGAACATCTCAACTACGGCAGAGACTACCACCGAGTGAAGTAAGAGGCATCACACCAGACAGAACTACCACTCGAATTAATAATCGAAGAACGTGTTGGACAAAAGAGAACATGCGTATACACTAAAGCGTGAGCATATTCTAGATTTACCCTTTAGAGTCTCTTAATTGCTACTTACATCTTGTACACCATCTACTAATTGTTCCAAGCAATCAGCACGAAAATTAGCAGTATAGAAAATAAAAATATAAAAGCAATGTGTAAAAAATACACACACCCTGCTACGTGCGCTATTCAAGATAGCGACCAATCTCAGGAATAAATTGAATCAACAGTAATATCCACTAATTTCTCGCTTAGTACAGTTGAAAATCACCAAAGACGACTGCATAATACAAGTCAATCTACGAAATGTATCTGACCGTTGGCAATAGGACCAGCTTGCCAGTTAAAAGAGGTAAAAATATAATTTTCTTTTATCAAGCTGTTTCACGAGCATAATACCGTTATTAGAGATGACCACTACGGGGGTGGGCGTGTGAGCAGGTCGTCTCACTGCACCTGCAGTGAGTCATGGCCACAAAACACTTGCGACGTTAACCCTCCACCTGGCGTGGGCGTGCGACCCCGGGCAGGTCTCGCGTTACGTGAGGCGAGTGCCGCCAGGCGTTATCTCGAGTTCCCCGTGTCGCCTGGCGTTTGAGTGCGGACGAACACCGCAGTACCCCTCATGCACGGCCTGCGGTCTCCAGAAGCTCCGACAGTTCCACTAAATTGCGTGACTACCCTGATCGCTAATATCGTCATGCAGAAGGATTCAAATCTCGGCCACAAAATGAGGAATGTTCTCCATAAACCGTGGTTGCGGCATTTATCTCGCGTGTCGTACTTCATTCTACTGCGTGTTTCAGTATTTATGCGCGCATTATTCTTTCATTCAACATAGCTCAAGCACTTTACTGTCTTTCTATTCTTCTCCAGCTATTATCTATCTACACATTGTGTGTCTTATACAGTTGCATCTACGCTATTTTAGCAAGTTGTAAACCTAAATAAATGGTTATGATTAATCAACAGATGATGTAAACTATCACATAAATTTGCATTTTTAAGGATGTTTCTCTCATAGCATGAATTAACAATGATATGAGTTCGTGAACGTAACAATCTGAAACATATTTCTCTCCAAATTCCTCATATTCAAAGCATTACAGGAATGCCCTATACTAATCTTCTCTATTCGAATGTTCTGTATTTTTCACTGATTTTAATACTGTTAAATCTGTTGTCACATGATCAACTCAGTTTTTATAAAACATAATATCTTCTTGTCCTTACCAAAGTTTTCAAAATATTTTAACGAATGCAATAAAATTAATTAATACACAATTAAAACATTAAAATTATTTCACTAATAGTTTCTATTACTTTCAACACAGTTTAATACTCGTATTTGCCTTCTCAAAACCAAGTGACAAATATTTTTGGTTTCACGTGTCATTAATTTAACATTATGATTATGGTATACTATTTTGTGGAAACAATTATTCTATGTTCTGATTAAGAACTAAAAAGCGTATTCGGTTTAGGTTATGAACAAAACTCATTTTGAACCAACATTCTAGCTTGTAACTGCTTGGGTATCACAAATTACATTTTAGATAATACAGGAACACGTCGCATTGACAAGACCACATCGTATTAAAGAATACAATAATGGTATTCTCTGATACAACAAAATCAGAAAGAAATTCAATATTATTCGATTTTGCAGGTTTTGTGCGTTATTTGTTTCGACTTTACTTAAGGAAAACAAATTAATTAACGTAGTATTAACGTAGCAATTGTTTTATTAACCCTTATTATATAAGCCTTCTATAAGAGTTCTTAAGAAATACCACATGATTTATTCACTAAGTTTTGTGTTTTTAGATAAAAATATTGCAAGTAAAAATGTTGATGATAGGTATTAGGAAAATGAAGCTGCATAAAGAAATATTTTTTTCGAACATATTCAAATGAAATTTAATAATTTCCAATTATTGCACATCAAATTTATGTTTTGTAGAACAACTTTAAACAATATTTATATATGCATTCCAGTGGTGGATATTAGTGAGTGACTAAAAACACAGGCAGTTTTATTTCGCGTTAATCTCATTATTTCTCACAATATCTGAATACAAATGTGACAACAAAAATTGCCATAGAATAAAAATAATTCTCCTTCTCACTTTCATCTGCGATACATTGTTCATTAAATGAGATTTATGTCAAAAATTAAATCGCGCACTGCCAATTTGGTGCATCGAAATCGGATTAAAATTACTGAAGCATTTTCACACACGCCTGTGGCGGACAGCCATTTATCTGAGGAGATAGCACGACCACAAGCGCCAACGTTTGCGCCCAAACACGTAGTTCACATGCGCATGACAACGCTCCGAAGCAGAGAGTCAGCAAACCAATAACACTAAGCCAATGAATTAAACTATCTTACTTCTTCGCCAAATGCGTGATTTTTTTAAAAAGAAACACACAGATTTCCGACCTGAATAGCCGATGTCACTAAAGTTGAAGGGGCTGTGGCTGTTTGGGTCGAAGGGTCACGGTCGAATTCAGGTATTGGTGTTTGTGTGTGTGTGTGTGTGTTCATGTTGTCCTTATGTGTTCCCCTTAACGTTATCTAAATGTTAAAAATCGTTATCTGACCAAACAGTGAGAAAGCAACCTTAAATAAATAAAACACACACACATATACACAGATTTAGTATAGCACATCATAAAGTTTCCAATATATCAGGTATAAAAGTTATGAATGTGTTTATTGGCGGAAATAAATAAAATCTTATTTTAAATTATACATGTATAAACTGATTAAATCAAGACAAAAGTTTATAATAATGATTTATATTACTTTAAAATTGTTTCAAAATAGAATAATCATACTCAAGCAATAAGCAATACTCGTACTCAAGCCTTGTAAATAATTTAACTATGAACTGGAATGTACTGGGCAGAAACAGTTTACTCCTTAACGCCAGTCAGCACAAATATGTGTCTTCTAAACCAAGATATTAAACAAATAGCTAGTAACCGTTTTTGAGGTTAGTATTTTCAGTGTGACTTTTTATACCATTGCCTTCTTAAGCACTATCCCTAAAAAAGTTTGAAGGGGAAAAAATGATCCATTTTTTGAGACAAATTTTATTTTAATATTTTTTAATATTGCCTATATTTCAGACAAAATTCTCAAAAATTACCAAACTTTCCCAACAAATTACAATCAGTAATTAAAGAACTAATTGTCGAGAACAAAATCCATTTGAAGCAAAATATTCAATATTTTAGTTTGAGGAAGACACCGAAAGAAATTCAAACTTTTGTAATTTTTGAAAATTTAAAGCAAACAGTGAAAATAGGTTCAATGTCATTTTCTGTCGGACAGACTGATGGATGAACACACAGGTGTCGGGTGACGGGTGTTGTTTTTTAAACACTTTTTCTGTGTCACGGGAACACAAAACATGTATTTCCGTGATATCTTGAAATCGATTTTCCGCAGCATTACATAAATTTTTCTACCTTACATATATTTATTTTATTTAATAGGTAATTATTACTAACGAATTAGATTACTTGATCCTATGTGGTTAGGCCGAAGGCCTTTAAGCCATTACAATACCTACATCCTTTCGCGTTGTAATCTTTCGAATTCTGGTATTCACCCCAAATGGTCTCACCATCGCATCAAAGCCGCGGAAAAGAGACCACAAGGTACGGCTCAGGAAAAAAACCCTGAAGGGAGAAAAACCTGCCGTCAGAAGCCGAGTACATTCTAATCTATCCGACGTTTATTTTAGCTATTTTATTTTCTGGCGCGGGCGTCCCGCCGTCTCCTTCCAGTGCTTGGCCTCCTCAGCTCCTGAAATCAAACGGCGTCAGACGGAGATTGAAAACACAATTTGAATTAAATAAGAGAGCACGTGCTTTACATATCTGCGCGCTACGCGGCAGCCTAGTATTCACCCCGAGCAACCATGATCTATTAATACATAAATGCACCACCTCACCCACCGT